CTACAACAAATCCAGAACAAATTGAACAAAAAATGTTACCATGGCAAGGACGTTATATATTATTTATTGATACATTATATGACAAAACAGGAGTTGTTAATATGATTGAAACATTAGGGCTTAAACTAAAAATTGTAAATTCAGTTGAAGAAGCAGCTATTATCACAGCATCTGGAAAATCATATGCACCTTTGTTTGATACAGTAATAGTTGATGATTTAACTATAGTTGAAAGGTTACGAAAAATTACATATCTCAGATATACTCCAATTGTATTATTAGCACATACAATACCAGAACTAAATATGAAGAGTTGTATAGATTTTGGCATTACTTCATATAGTAGTACACCATCAACTTTGCCTGATTTGATGAATGCTTTATTGCCTTCACTTGAATATAACTCTTTAATACCAATTGATTGTACAAGACAATAGTCTTTGAATATTTTAGTGGCTGATGATAATATAGTAAATCAAAAATTAGCAGTAAAATTTTTAGAGAAATTTGGTCATAAAACAGAAGTAGTTGCTAATGGGCAATTGGCTGTTGAAGCCTTTAAATCTAAAAGATATGATTTGGTAAACTTTCATTATTATTATTTTATTATTGTAAAAATTATTTATAACTAATATTATTTAATTTAGATCTTAATGGATGTTCAGATGCCTATAATGGGTGGTTTTGAGGCAACACAAAAAATTCGTGATTATGAATCTCAACATGGTGGTCATGTTCCAATAATTGCATTAATAGCTCATGCAATGATAGGAGATCAAGAAAAATGCCATTACTCAGGAATGGATGAATATGTGACTAAACCATTAAGTAAATGATAATTTTATATATATATATTTGAGAGATTATATGGGGCATACTGCAACAAAACCAGACAAAGTGAACATTTGTATTATCAAAGATTTCAGGGATCAATAATAAAATTATTTTATTCAATCACGTTATACAACAACAATACAATGACAGTAATAGTAATGACTTTTAATAATAAAGTAAATCACAATAATAAGGATGGTAATTATATTTCAAAAGTCTTGTCACATGATTATAGAGATATGATCGAATTTTCTAAAGAGAGTGCTCAGGTTGAAATAACATCGATAACAATACATTGGAATAAATCCCAGAAATAAACATGTAAAAATAAACACGATTATGTATGCAAATTGAGTACCAGGACCAGCTTTATTGATACAAATAACTGCTAAACTTCACAACTGGTTGCATTAATATATAAGAAAAATTATTTATTATTTTTTCTCATGATAATTCAAGCAATTTCCTAAGTTGTGGAGAATCGGGAAATTCTGTTGCATTTGTAGAGGTGGTGTAAATTCTTCACCGCATCTTTTAAAATCCTCGGCAAGTTTATTTATTCGTTTCTGCAAGTGAGAAAAGTTTGACGTAAACTTAATGGATTTCCATTATAAATTAAAATGATAATTGAAATAGGACAACATTGTATACCTCTAACGCTACGAAGTGGCAAAAATTTGATTCTATTAATGGCATTGATGCCTTATCGATTGGTAATCTAGTTCTAAGAAAGGACCAAGAACAGTATAATCCGGATCTGAATTCCATAAAAAAAGATTTGACTTCATCACCTAGAGCATATAAATGTGTTAGATTTAGAAGACATGTATAAATAAAAGTTAACAATTTATTGTATACCCATATTCGTTAACAATCCTGCTTCACCAGGACCACCTTTTGAGTTCAGTTGTTGATTTATTGACTTTTTGCTCTTAAATGTACTTTCGTGAAATCTTTCTTCCTTTTAAATGGTGTTACTCCAAGTGGTTTGATCTCAGAGTTAAGTATTGGTACATTATCGACAACACACAAGAGAAGTTGGGACGTTTTTGTGTGCCACTTACTGTATGATTAAGTCGAACTTCATATTCTGCAAGTTGTCCAAAAAACAAAGAGTTTATATAGGGATATAACAATTGATCACAGTGCAATTCTTCAGAAGTTTTGACTGGAGAACGGATAGGAATATCACATCTATAATATGTTAAAAAATTAATATAATCTTTAAACTTTCTCTCCCAATTACTGACAAAGATGAAATAGAAGTCAACATACAAATAATTAAATGTGCGAGCAACAGCTTTACTCAATTCTGATTTATCGAGTTGCATATAACTTTCCTTTCCCATTAAATGCATTATTGCTGCTTCACGAAGAATATTTGAGGTGGATGATGGTATTATAGGATATTGGATCACATATGGATTTGTTTGAATTATTTGGTCCCATTCGCGGTTGGTAAAAAATTTTGAATACAGACATGGCCAAGAAAGGACAATGACCAATGCAAGTGCCCTAAAGCACAATATAAAGGATAAATTTATTTATAATAGTAAAAATGCAATCTTACTCTTCGGTTCTACATTGTCTCATAATACTTACAAAATCTCATATGAGTCACTTCACTTTAATCCATACTTCATCGTTTTGTCAATAACACTTCGCTGATACTCACGAAACTTCTGTGTGATGTTTATATTACCAATCTCCCACTTAAGCACGTAAATAGCGTTAAAAATGTGGTAGAAAAGTTCAGTTTTGTTGTGGTTTTTTTTCAGGTTCATTCAACCTACTACGTACCTCAATAAGTGGCTCCATCTCTAACTGTTTCCTAATACTTGCAAGATCCATTTCAATTTGTTCATCTTGTTCCTCAGTTTCGTCGTCGCAATTTATGGAAGCAGATATAGATGGCTCTTGGATCGTTTTGATCTGCCACATCCAAAAAAAATAGGGAATGTTTAAAGCATTTCTGCAGGCTAAACATGTATTTATTCTGGACCTAACCTTTTTAACAGTTCCATTTTCGATTCCATCAGTAGGTTTAGATGTATCAGGTAAACTATGTTTTTGATTAAATTTCTGCCAAAGTAACAAAAACATAATTATTAAATTGATATTCTACTCGCAAACTATATATACTATATAGAAATTAAATCATACCAGCTTTGCATCAATGTTTTCCATTACCATTGCAGTTGCTTTTGAAGCCCCTCAAGTTATCACATGAGCTATTTCCAACTAGAATCCAATGTTCATTATTAATCATATCAATCTAAATAGTAACAAGAATAAAATGTTTACCTCATCTAACTGCAATTCCTTCTCCTCTATACTAAGTTTTCATATAAATATTCATTTTCAATGTTGTTCCAGAATTTGTCAACTTCCTGGAATCTAGCTTGGTGATTCTACAAAGAACATGAATGTTATAAATATTACAAAAAAAAAAAGCCACTAGCAAAGCAGACAACAACGAACATGCAAGATCATAAAGCAGGCCACGCGCAAGAAGCCTGCCGTAGTTGTTGGAGTTCCTAGAACTACTAGAAGTTTCACATACTACTTTTCTGTAGACCACAACGAACACGCAAGATCATAAAGCAGGCCACGCGCAAGAAGCCCACCGTAGTTGTGTGAGCCTCAGGCTCTGTGAACCTTCTATACTGCCTTTGCTTCCTTTTGAAATGAAAACGTAAAGTCAATTTGTTTAATACGATATTGATAATATCCAAGAAAACTATACTGATTAGGTAGTGTTATATCAAAATAGTCTGAAACACACATAGTGGAATGAAAAAAACTTTGTAAGCAATTAGATTGATTAATTGAAAAAAATCTTTTTTTTTTTTTGTGGAACTTTATTAATAATATTTATGTAATACAAAAAAAATAATCTGAGATTCTCATCTTTAATTTAATATATATTAATTAATTAATTTGACCAAGACATCTTTGGTTTACATTTTTCAATCTTGTATACTCCTGAATCACAGATTGATCAGTTTTTATATGAGAAGAGTCAAAACCTAAGATCTCAAGCAAATCCCAAGAAGGCACTCTGCTCATGGCTACATACAGTACACTCTCTCTATAACGAACTTTTGGGCTGGGCTAAAAAAGTTCATTATAGGAAATTTGTAGATCATCACATGGATAAACTTTATTTAAAAAAAATTTTATATATATAAAAAAATATATAACCATTTTGCAAATTAAAAATAAAATAAATAATATATATATATTGCTTTGCAAAAATAACAAATTAATTAAAAAAGGTATCTAATGTTGATTATTTTTCTTTTAAGACTTTTTAATGGTTTAATTTCATAGTTGCTTAGTTGCAACTTTTCAGATTGTTGGTCAATGTATGTGTTTAATTTTTCTATTGCTAATAAAGCTTCTTTATTTGAAACAGGTGGAAATTCTTCAATGGCTTCTTCTTCTTGATTTGCTCATTTTGAGTAATCATTAAAATTATTTCTTGTTCATCTATATCTATTTCATGTTCCTTTTCAGTATCATCAATTGTAATGTATTCAGATGCAGATATAGGATTAATGTGGGGAAGTTTATCAATTAAATTCTGTAAATCATTAACTTCTTTTACATTTGATGTATTTAAAATTGATGTTGCATTTTCAATTTCATTGGAATTATTATTAACATCAGGTAAAATACCAGTTTTTTTCCAACAGTTAATTATAGTTTGACTAGTAACTCTTTTCCAAGCTTTTGCTGTAAATTTAATTGCATCTTTAATTGGAATTTGCCTATAAAATTTAAAATCTAGACATTAGAAACTATTATAGAAAAATAAAAAATATTGATGTTTAGAAAAATTAAATAAAATTACTTTAAAGTTGTTGATTATTCCAGCATTACATGGTTGTAAAAATGCAGTTGTATTTGATGGTAAAAAGTGAACTTTCAAATTAATTAAATTTATTGATTCAGAAACAGAATGAGTAGGAGCATTATCTAATAATAATAAAATGGTTCTATTTTGGTTTTTCATTTCATTATTTAAATCTTTTAGATAATCATGAAAGATGGAAGTTTGCATCCATGCTTTAATATTCCAATAAAATTTCACTTTCAAGGTATTTTTATCAATGTTTCTAATTGCTTTTGGATTTTGATATTTGTGGATCAGAAGGGGTTTTAATTTTTCTGTTCCATCAGCATTACAAGTTAGCATTACAGTAATCCTTTCTTTTGATTTTTTTCTTTCAGTTACTGGCCCTGTGGCAGTGTTGGCATTTTTATATGTCCAATTAATTTCCAATTGGATTTGTCTTGTCCAATTGTCCAATCCAAATCCAATTGGCGCAGTAGCTATTTGGACATTGGCATATTGGACAGTCCAATTTATGTCCAAATTACCAAATATAGTAAATTGGACATAAATTGGACTGTCCAATATGCCAACATCCAAATATTTGTGAGACATTCAAAAATTCTAAATAAAAAAAAAAATTATTTATTTATAATGTTCATTTATTTGCCATTAAAACAATGGGAAACAAACCACATTCTTTAACACCACACATTTATATTCTTAATGAAAAAGCCAATAACTTCAACAAATATGTACTTTGTTTATATTGTAGAAATGCCTTGGGTCATGAAGTTGCATATCAGAATAAATTATTGAATAAAAAAGATAGAATTAAGTCACATTTAAAAAAATGTGAAAATTTCAAAGTGGTAGTAGGAGAGCAAAACATTAATCAAATTTTAGAAGAAGAAATACACCCAAATTCTCAAAAAAGAGCACGTACAATTGAACCAAGTATTATTAATTTATTATAATGAACTCATTTGGTAATTTAAGAAATTAATTAATATTTTTTGTTTTTTTATTTGTTTTTATCTCAGGTAATGACAATACATCTAATACATCTGCATCAATGTCAACATCAACGTCACTAAATAAAAATATCACAAATTTGTCTTTGGGCTCTTTTCAAAGCAATAATATTAATAAATATAATATTGAAAGATTTATGCTACGTACTCCTACAAAATCTGAAGAATCAATATTAGAGGATCACTTACTTCGTATAACTGTATCTAATGGTTTGGCTTTCAGGTGGATTGAAAGCGAAGAAGTAAAGTCCTTTTCAGATGGTTGAATCCAAATATAAGACTTCCAAATAGGAAGGCTCTTTCTGGAAGAATTTTGAATGATGCATCTCTTAAACATAATAGTTGGATAAAAGAACAAGCATCTAACTCTGAATATGGTGTGACAGTTGCATTGGATGGTTGGTCGAATGTTGTCAATGAAAAAATACTTGGTGTAATATTAATT